GAAGCTGTCGCTTTCTCGTCTTCTAAACAGGCAGTTTTATGACCTTTTAGGTATACGTTTTTTTCCCAGAAAATACAAAAATATTACTTCCAAGATACAGAAAATGAAATTGTGTTCAATTGTGAATAACTCCAATGTATAATTTATTGAATAGTAAGGGGTCATATTTCTAACTACGACAATCTTTGACCGTGAATTTGGACACATTTAGTCTGTTTTTTCCATAGCCTGAAATAACAATACTTTTTAGAGTGTAAAATATATCAGTGACGTCAATGTATTTAAGCAGCAAAAAATATTTATATTATATTATTACTTTTACACAATTATATAATTGTATAAAAGTAATAATATGCTAATCGAACTACCTGATATAATATTAATTCTCGAAGAAAAAATTATAAAGCAGAAGTAATATTATTTGATGAAAATATTTTATGATAAATGTTTTGCTTTATTACAAAGTTTACTACGGTTATTTTATATAAAATTATTCCAAAAAATCAATTATTTTCTCATCAAAGAAAGTTTTGCGTTTTTTACTTTGGTCAACACTGTTAAAATTACGAGTCGTTGATCGATCATGTGGTCGACCGAAAAGTTTTAAAACTCGTCATTTATTTGTGAATTTTTTAGAAAAATTATTTTATTATTATAATTGTAATTTTATTTTATTCATAAATTTTCATTTAAAAAAATAAATGGGATTTGGCAAATCCTTAGATGCATAAACAACGCACTTCGACGCATTTGTGTCGAGTATTTCGGTTTCAAAGTTGTCGGAGTCGTGGAGTTGTTAAGCGGATATAACTCCTTCCTGAAGCGGAGTTAAATCCGAGTCGATCCGGCTTCGGATATGATAAGCCCATCTCTAATACATACTATAATATATTATAGTTAATGTATTTTAGTCATCTTCATTACGGCAATTGTAAGAATAATTAATATAATTGTATTATTAAATACTGTGATACATTAAGAGTTTTTGAATAAAACTAACTGAACTTATTTGGAGTGTTTCATTTCACACATTTTCAGTGATATATATTAGAAACATAAGATACAGGTACAGGTATTATAAACTGATAAGCTAATGTTATTATGAACATTAATATGCTCAATAATTCGTTCTTCGAAGAGGATTTAATATTTTGAATAAATTTTATATAATATAATTTTTGTAATCTAATTCTATCATGATCAATAAAGTTAATGTAGTTATAACTTTGGCCATTTTAAATAGACTAATCTATGGTTTTTCACTCATTTCAATCATGTCAAAAATATTAACTTAAATTTTTCAATCACTTTAATCTGTATTATTATTTAAAGTCTTAATCAGATCATTTGAATTAATATACCTTGTATATTGGTCAGTTTTACTTAACTATAACTTATAAGAAAAATTAAGTTTTCAGTGTTGGTGTTATTTTCTTCTTTTCGAATATCTTTATCAATACTAATATATCTTTATTTTGATTCGCGTAATTATTACATTAATTACATTAATATTCCTATCATATTGACGCTACCATCTCCTACCTTACTTTACACTACCCTACCTTAACCTAATACTTACCCACGTTAAGAACTAATACTCTTACCTTGCTTACCTCTACCACGTCTCGAACCTGCTACCACGTCCTCTCCAGTGACTCCCAGCTCCTAACGCGCGACGCCACGACGATCACATTAGTAAACCGTTGCAAAGTAGATGATATTGTATATTTTAAACAAAAAAAAACTAACAGGTCATATGGCCAAAAAAAAGTTGATTTTGTGTGGCCTCTGTTGGCGTAATGGATAGATTGATGGCATCGTACCTTAAAGGTACCGAGTTCGAATCATACCTCAAGACAAAAAAGAGTATTGTTCACGTTGTGGTATTTATTTAGTGTTGAATAACACAAAATTAATATTTAGATATAACAAACTAACAAGTCATGAGGCCGAAAGAAAGCGGAATCGATGTGGCCTGTGCTGGCGTAATTGGTAGAACGATGGTTCGTACCCAAAGAGTGCCGAGTTCGAACCATACCTCGGGACAAAAAATGGAAAGCGTGGTATTTATTATTTATTGTAAGATAGCACAAAGATAAAATTTGGATTTAATAAACTAACAGGTCATGAGGCCAAAAAAAAGCAGAATCGATGTGGCCTGTGTTGGCGTATTGCTAGCGTGCTAGCTTCATGCCAACAGGGTACCGAGTTCGATTCATACCTCCGGACACAAAACGCAAAATAGCGTGACTGTTGACGCTGTGGAACGAGGTATGCACGGAATCACATCCGTTCGAATTTGAAACCCCAGGTATGCTCCCCTCGATCTCGATTGAGAGGAGAGATACGCGCGAGAATCCCGTATCATCCCCTAATGAACCCCGCAGCAGCCCCGAAAAGGGGCGAGGGGGGATTATAGGGGGGTGTGGGGTTCGCGAACCCGCAACCCTGTGGTCCCGCCCTCGAAAAAGGGAGAGGGGGGACTATAGGGGGGTGAGGGTTCCGCGCGACGACCACCACTGGGTCGCGCCGGTTGAAAAGCTGGGTGCGTCACAGGTTGGGTCGGTGTGCGAGTCCCCGGAGCACCCTCGAGAGCGATGATGGGGGTGTGGGGTGGGGAAAATGCGGTGACGAGGAAAAAAGGGGTGGAAAGATCTTATTCGCTCAATTTAATATTGAAAATATTAATTATTAGAGAGAATGTGGTCAAGTTCGAAGTGCTGTCATATATGGACAGATTTGATACTACGGCGAGAGCAGCAAAGACTTTGAGGCGGCCGTACTCTCAAACTATCAATTTTACAAAAAAACGGTTTTCTAAGGAATTGTAGGAAATTTTCTCTAGTTTAATTCGTACATAGATACTTTTATCGTAGATTGAGCCAGAAAGAAGATATTTTAAAAAAGCTGTTTTTTGACGCCATTTTTTCAATATGGCGGCAACTTGCCGTTCAAATTTGAGGTAGCAAAGTTGATTTTCGTAAAGAGCACCTCGAAATCTATAAGATTACCAATTTTCAGAATTCCCGGAGTACTGTACCGGCAAGACGACCAAATGACTGGACTAATTATAGGTATTAAGAAATTGTTTTTCCTCTGGCGGATTCGGCCATAGATAAATAAGCATAAATAGATCGCTATCTCGGGTGATTTGACGTTACACTCATTTTAATTTACGAATTGATCACTACATGGCAGCACATGTACATACAGTATGTAAATTAACCCCTGGTATTACTTCTACATTTGTACATAAAATCAATACAGCCCAAAAATCTGAAAAAAATTAATGATTTGAAATAAGAACAAAAGATACGAAATACAAAATATATTTTCAAATATATCACAGACATATTTTTGAAGAATTATAAACTAAACAGAAATAACTGACTACTATTAATTAAAGTATATTACAGACATATTTTTAAAGTACTACAAATTAAAGAGAAATAACTTATTTATATTAATTACTTAACGACTAATAATAATATATTAAAAACTTAAAAACTAAGAAGTGAAAAGCGCAGGGGTATTGACGATGGAATGACAAATTTAGAAGGAATGACAAGTAATGCAATAATTTAAAAGGATAAAAAGAACTGCACATTTTTAAAAAAGAACGAATACTCTCCAAACAAAATAATCCTAAAAACAAAAAATATATATATTGATATCCAAATTGAGATAAAACTAAATTCCTAGGATTAAAATTCATTTACGAGACATTCTTGTTTATTATCTCTTCATTTAATAGTTATTTTGCTATCTAATCAATCATTAATAAAGTTATATTTGACGAAATCTTTGAATAGTTTCTGTATAAGTGTTTTTTTTAAACGTAAGTAACCAAAACCCTAAACTACTTTTAATTTATACTAATTGTA